GAGTCTTTGCTTAAACTTTAGCAAGGCACCACATTCAGAAATACTGCTCTGTTGCTTAGAATTTCTCCCCCACATTGCAGACGAGAAAAAAAATGTAGCTAAATGGAACATACAGCTAATTTTAAGAGTCATCTAAATTGTGGACGAAGGAAAATTCTAACCCTGTGGAATTAATGGCAGCTCGGCAGGATGGCACAAGCATCCTAACGCATGCTATCCCAGCGCTGAGCCTCAGTAAGAGCTGCTTTCAGTTGGAGGTCAGTCTGGACTGTGACCAGTCCTTAAAAATAAGTAATCGAAAAAATCATCTTTTAGAGGGGCAAGATGTTAAAAGGCAAATAAAACACAGGCATCAAAATGAAGCTAGCAATTTCATTGTAGGAACTTCATAGAAAAATATGGCGACAAAAACAAGTATGGCTACTTTGCTCTGTCTAGATCAGATACACAAATTGGCAGAAAACTGCAAACTGCCAGCACAGTGTTTACACTAGAAACCAATTCTGACTCAAATTAAGCCTGTGGGGTGCCTTAACTCATTGTAACTTAACTTCTTCGATAACATTCAGGCATTTCACACAAATTAAGCCTGCAGTGAATGAGCAAGAAACCACCTTCCCAAAATTTATACTGCTAAAGAAAACGTGACTTGAATGTTTCTTAAAGAGTATTTACTTATTTCTGACTGCCCAGCTGCGATGCCTGAAACAGTTGACAAAGGATGATTAATGTTGGCAACAATCTAACCTTAAAAGTGAAAACGATACACAATCTTTAACGCTTAAATCCCACCAAATGTTAAATAAATACGGTAAAAATCCTGTTTGGGATGTCACACCAATTACATTAATAAACCTTTAAAGCAACAAAAGGACTGTTATCCAGGAACTTCACTATCTGTGTGCTACCAATGCAAGAACCAAGCAAATGCTCCCTAAGTGTAAATGAGCCGGATGGTGGTGGCCCACGCCTTTGATCCTGGTACTCAGGAAGCAGGCGCAGGTGGATCTATGAGTTGGAGGCCAGCCTGGTCTACAGACTCCCACTAGTCAAGGCTGTTACACATTTTAAACCCTGTCTTGAAAAAACACCAAAAAGTGTCAATGACTTGAAATACACAGCCTTGGTATAGACACGGGGTGCTTGGGATCTGGCACTGGAAGAGATGCCCGTGCTGGGTTGTAGCAGCTACAGCGCCTGTACACGAACAGGAAATAAGTCTCTGGCGGCGATTGCGCTTCTAGCGGTCCTTCAAAGATTTGGTCATCGCCTTCATAGAGAAATCCCGGTCGGGCTCGGACTTCACGGGCAAAACTGCAGAACAAATGGAAAGGTTTAAACGTAGGGTGTAGGCTGCAATTGTAAGTTGTGGCAATGAGTAACGTGGACCCTCAGACGTCACCAACCAACTGTCCAATCAAGGTAAGGCTAGGACAAAACCATGAAAGCATTGGGCTAGGGGATTGGATTATGTGCAACCAATGGATTCGCTCCCTTTTCGCGCCCTGCGTTAACTTCTACGGTGGGAAAGGCTCAGGGTAGGCTAAGTGGACTCACCGTGTCTTCTCAGCATGGATGGTAGTGCGCGCGCAGAGGTCTAGACGAGCTGGAAGCGGGAGACCGGGGAACTTGAGCCACCGGGGATGGGGGGTGGGGAATCCAGATTGGGAAGGAGGGTAAGGTTCAAAAAGGGTTAGCGCCCGTGTCCTGGGTAACATGGAGACTATGCTACATTATCAGGGACAGTAGAATTTCTATTTCAAGCATTGATTAAACTCGGCCAGCCTTACCTTTCAGAGGAGCCCGCATGGCTGTGTTCGGTTGGTTGGCCAAAGGGGAACACAGGAGGGACCTTTTGAAATGATTAGGTCAGTGTGTACAGCTACATTCACGGAGCTCTTTGGGTGGCTCTGAAAAGAGCCTTTGGGGCTTCGTTGCGGTCAGAAGCAAACCTACTTCTTTTTGGAAACAGCCTTCTTGGCCTTAGCAGCTTTAGGCTTAGCCGTCTTAGGCTTGGCAACCTTAGGCTTGGCTGCCTTGGGCTTCACAGCCTTGGGCTTTGCCGGGCTCTTAGCTGCCTTTTTAGGCTTGGCTGCAGCCTTAGCCTTCTTGGGGCTCTTGGCCACTTTCTTTACACCAGCCGCCGCAGGCTTCTTTGCTTTCTTCGGAGTTTTCTTCACGGTCTTCTTTGCCCCCGCAGCCTTCTTAGGCTTTTTCGGGGTGGAACCTGCAGGCTTCTTAGCCTTGGCCGCGCCTGCCTTCTTGGCTTTGGGCTTGGCCTCGCCGGAAGCCGCCTTCTTGTTGAGCTTGAAGGAGCCGGAGGCGCCGGTGCCCTTGGTCTGCACCAGGGTGCCCTTGCTCACCAGGCTCTTGAGCCCCAGCTTGATGCGGCTGTTGTTCTTCTCCACATCGTAGCCACCAGCAGCCAAAGCCTTCTTGAGCGCGGCCAGGGACACGCCGCTGCGCTCCTTGGAGGCTGACACAGCCTTGGTGATAAGCTCGGACACCGGGGGTCCGGACGCCTTGCGCTTTGCGGCGCCAGCCTTCTTTGCGGTCTTCTTCTTGGCGGGAGACTTCTCAACGGGAGCCGGAGCAGCAGTCTCGGCGGGAGCAGTTTCGGACATGGCCAGAATATAAGCTGCTAGAAAAGTAAAGAGAAGCTAACTCAAAGAGCAAATTTTGCAATGCTCCTTTGCTCAGGCCCCGGGTTTATATAAGCCAGAGCTGGGCTGTGATTGGTGGAGCGTCCAATCCACCGCCCTCTGGCCACGGCGACTCAAGGTTAGAATCCCAAACTGTGTTTGTTAGTCCCCAAATTTTTACTTACTGCTGAAAATAATGGCACAGAAATTGACAGTTTGGAGTTCCAAAGAAGAAGAGCCTTCGGTTTCACATGTCTGTGTGTGCTTTTTTGAATCGCATTCAATTGACCAAAGATATTTATAAAAATCCCACCAGTGTTTACGAAGAATCCAGCAAGCAGAGGGCATCCTGATATTTACTTGCATGTTTCCATAAACTTATACGAATTATGCAATGAACATTACTTAAAAGGATTTGTACCCAAGTCCCGCCTTTAATTTTTATAAGAGTAAAATTAACAATGTTTTTGGTTTGGGCACAAACTTTGTTTCTGACTGTAGCAAATAACACAGGTAAGAGTGTCCGGTTGGCTCCAGGCTGAAATTAACCATTTCAGATATTTCTTTTTAAAATGGCTCAGGCTCCTAGTATTTTCCAGACGTTGCTATCTATAACGGAGAATGCAATTTTTCCATTGTGTAGGTTTCTTCTTTGAAGTAGGAAGAGTAGAAACCATTGACTTCAGGAGCTGTTGAAATGGCAGTGAAGAGCATTTACTGCTCTTGCACATCTGCGTTTCTTTCCCAGAACCACAGGGCAGCTTGCAAATGTCTGTATGTAACTCCAGTCTCAGGGACTCTTGGGCTTTTTTCTAGATTCTCCCGATCTCGGGCATGTAAGTGGTGCACATATATACAAGTAGGCAAAACCTCATTCAAATAAAGATTTTTAAAGTAACTCAAATATTTAAAAAGAAATCACTAACTTCAGAGGCTAATCAACTTAATTCTAAGTCAAAATAAGTTAAATATGTCTCTGGTTGATGGGCTTTTGTCACATTTCCTAGTCATATTTGAAGATCAAAAATACTAAAGATAATTTACATTAGAAAACTGCTAAAACATTCAGAAAATTATTAGGGTGACGCTATGGCCCTCAAATGTGGTTGGTTGAGATGACCAGTGAGCATTTCAAAACATTTAGCAAGCAGCAAAATTAGGCATGCTCTTAAGTAAATAGTGAAAGCCAATACACGTATTTTTTGCATGTTGAGATGCCAAGCAGGTGAATATTTTAGAATATTATTAAGGAGCCAAAAGAGTTTCAAAGATCTGAGAAAACTAAAACAAGGTAAAAAGAAGGAGCGTGGTGAAGTTTGCTGTAGGGGAAAAAGAAGTTTGCTATGGTGAGAGCTGAGACTTCCCAAGGTGGGGAAAGATGCACAGAACTCTGCATTAGTAAAGGACATCACCATATTGATTCATATGTAAAATAAGTCACAAAGGATGCAGTTTGACTTTACAATTAAAATGCAGTTTCATTTGACAATGACAATCAGGATGCAGGTTTACTGGGTGGGGCACGCCCATGATCCTACCAATTACCAAGACTAGAGTAGAGGCAAGACTAGCAGGACAAGGTCATTCATGGCTACGTATCCAGGTGCACAATGAGCTACTTGAAACCTTACCTCAAAAAGTACAAAGAAATAAAAAAAACTGTCTTAGCAATACAGACCAAGACAAGGACCTAGACTAGAGGCTAACACACGTTTGCTACTGGTGATCTAGAAATGGTATACAAAATAGCCAAACCCATATAGTAAACTGTGACTCCCAACATAGGAAATTTTTAAACCATATAAAACATGGTTAAAAGACATGTCAAAGATGTAACTTAGAAAACTTAAGACTATTGCTCGCCTACCACAGGCTAATTAAACACACACAAAAAAGACTATTTTGAGGGGGTTCAGGATTGCCAAAATCCACCTACACAGTGAAGCCTTGCCTTAAAAAACAAAAACCAGTGATGTAACCAAGCAATCTCCACTATTCACACAAGTTCCACTGAGGGAACACTCCACTGCACCAAATGGGAAGGAGAGCAGGTACTTGAACTACTAATAAAGTCCTGGGGTATTAAGTGTATGCTATGAAGTTTCAATACTTTTACATCCCAAAGTTGAGACCGGAAAAACATATGCCTATAATTTAAATGCTGGTGTCAGATCTGAAATAATGTACAAAGGACTTCTCTATACAATACAAAGGGCCGGTTATTTATAAATCAAGCTGAAAAGAACTAAGTGCTTTACTACACTAAAAACTCTAATAGGCAAATGCAAACTGATTGAGGGGCTAAATTTTTAGAATAGTTTCTTAGATATGGAAATATAAATTTGGAAACCAAGGGAACAGCTTGCTTTTGGTGACAAAGGAGGGGCTCTTAAAAGAGCCTTTTGCAGAATAGACGCCTGTGGACATTATGCCCTCTCCCCGCGGATGCGGCGGGCCAGCTGGATGTCCTTGGGCATGATGGTCACCCGCTTGGCGTGGATGGCGCACAGGTTGGTGTCCTCGAACAGACCCACCAGGTAGGCCTCGCAGGCCTCCTGCAGCGCCATCACGGCAGAGCTCTGGAAGCGCAGGTCGGTCTTGAAGTCCTGCGCGATCTCGCGCACCAGGCGCTGGAACGGCAGCTTGCGGATCAGCAGCTCGGTCGACTTCTGGTAGCGCCGGATCTCGCGCAGCGCCACGGTGCCGGGCCGGTAGCGGTGCGGCTTCTTCACGCCGCCGGTGGCCGGGGCGCTCTTGCGGGCGGCCTTGGTGGCCAGCTGCTTGCGCGGGGCCTTGCCGCCGGTGGACTTGCGAGCGGTCTGCTTGGTGCGAGCCATTTCAGACACAGAACCGGGAACTTCTGTGGACAATGCTGGGGCAAAGCTTACATTTATATAACGACCCTCCCTGCTGGATTGGACAGTAAATTGCTGACATCATAGATCCAGACATGGGATTGGTCCGCGTTTAAACCCAGTAAAAAAGGAAGTATTCGTTCCTACCTCTTCTTTAAAATATACAAATTTCATTTTTTACGTAAAAATTACTCTACCATATCCCAGGAAATGTTGACTTTGAAGATCAAAGGATCTTTTCATTATTTAGACAAAGGAGTCATTTGGGGCACAAACTTAATAAACAACCTGAAAGGGAAATTGACAAAGAAATTCCTGGCATCATCAGCACTTCCCACACTTGATTGCACCCAAGAATGGCTCCAACAGTTCCATCACAGGAAACCGCTTTAGAAATTGCAGTTCTGACTGCTTTTCTCTCAACTTTTGCGGTTTTGGCGGGAAAAAATTCAAAATGGGTGAACCAGCAACTTCCTGTGTTTACAAACCCACACGGCATTGAGATTTGACTACTATGTTACACTATCACTGAAAGGGACATGTCTGGTGAGTGGCACTCATTTACAAGTTACAAAGTTACACAATTCAAGGTTCGAAGGGAACCCCGGAATTATTCACAGAAACAGCAGCCGGTACAGAAAATTGCATACAGCCCTGGAAGCCTAAGGCAGCCTCTGGAATACCTGAGCCAATGATGCTTTTGATGCGGCCAGGCTGTGCCAGGAGGCAGGTGGCAGGCTTGGTGATAATTCTGTGTTGTGCAGGACTTTGCAGAGGCGCTTAGCACAGCCTTTGCCCAGACCCTTCTCATCTTCAGTGTAGTCAGATTTGCCAGACACAAAAGACAATAAGGTCAGACTCTAGGGGCGTGGTTTTGTGAACAGGTTTTGTTTTGTTTTGTTTTTGAGGCAGGTTCCCTGTGTAGTTTTGGTGCCTGTCCTGGATCTCGCTCTGTAGTCCAGGCTGGCCTTGAACTCACAGAGATCCACTTGCCTCTGCCTCCCAAATGCTGGGATTAAAGGCGTGTGCCACCACTGCCCGGCTATGAGCAGGTTTTTTACCTGATAGGGAACACTTTGTGCCACCACTATTTACTCAATGTTTTACCAGAGAACCTTATCAGGATTTTCAGAAAAAGGAAGAGGACTGTGCGGGAACTCCAGATTCTAAAGAGGTCTATTGGGAAATATCTCTCCCCACCTCACATTTGGAACTACCCACCGCTAATGGGCCACCCCAGCATGGCAGTCAGGCGCCTTGGCCTCCCTTTGTTCACAGCAGGGACACACTGGTCTTTGTGGTTGGTGGGTATGAGACTCTCAGTTTAAGAGGGCTCATGTGAGCTATTTCTGATAATGTGGGTGTGCAAAGAGCTTTCTTTGTAAGAGAAGCTGAACAGCCTGAGAAGCAGAGGGCGGCAGCTGGTGCAGTGTAACAGACGCTTAGATGTGGGTCGCCCCCAATTGCCAAATGTCGTTCTTTGTCTTTGTTCTTTGTATAAATGATTGGGGAAGAGGGATTCAAACCCCAGTCGTGGACTGCTTTCGACCCCTTTGCTTCTCTCAGACTTGCCACATTTCCGGTGAGAAGTGATGAATGTTTTCTTCCTCCCCAAAACACCCACGAAGCAGTGCTCCTGCTCTGTGTTTCTTTGCAGTGAATGGAGATGAAAGTGCTGTTCATCCTTGCCCCGCTCCCCTTTTTCTGCCCGGGGAAGCACCCAGACATCCTCTCCTTTACGTTTACAAAAAAGAGGCAGAATGCAGAGACTCAAAATGGCTTCGTCCCAGGAAAAACTGAAGGCCAGCCCTGCTCGGTTCCCCAGACTCCAGCTGTTTGGCCGTGTCCTGTCTTTCAGAGCAACCGAGACTTCCCCCACCTGCCTTCTTCTCTCACGTTCAATGTCAGTGGTATTTACCTTTAAAATGGGGCGACATTTTTACTACTTTTGGAAGGAATGTCACATTTAATCTTAAGAGTGAGCTTGTCTACATTGACAGGGGAAAATATTTAATATCATGATATATACAGAGAAGAGCTTTTCAGCAAAACCAGAAAAGTCAACCATGCAGCTTATCAGCTATTCTAAGGGTCTGGGGAGTTAAGATAATTACAGGAGGAAACTAATAACGGGAAAAGGTAACCTAATGAGAATCCTCCCTGAGTGTTGTGATCAGGTATGTGACAGACTACTTAGGAGCTGGAGAGATGGCTGAGTGGTACATGCAGGGAAAACCCCAATGAACATAAAATACAATAAATAAAAAGGGAAACTTGGCCTAGGAAGTATTCCACCCAGTAGCTGCGGTGGTGGTGGTGGTGGTGGGTTTGTTTGGTTGTTGCATTGACCGTGACTTAAATCTTGGTACTATTCTTGCTGAGGCTCAGAGTTCAATACTGACTTGAAGGCTTGAGAAAGAAATGTCTAGCGTTCTCCCACCCTCCTGTATCCTTTCCTCCCAAACCTCGTTACTGGAACCAGAATTCCTCAACAAACCAGGAAATAGAAACTAGATTTGCAGTCCTCCAAAGCAAGACATTAATGTGAAAGTTCATTCTTTCTCCTTTACAGAGCCTCATTCCACACCGGTGAGAAGACTGCTGAACACAGGTCAAGAACCTGGAACAACAGGCATTGCTGGAATTTCCCTCTGCGCTAAAACTTTAGGTCAAAAGCTGCAGAGTTGCATCTCCAGTTTGCGGTCTATTCCATTATCATGCATTTAAAACACAAATGGGTACTTTCCTCGAGAGCTTAAATCATAATCGTCAGTTGCCTGCCTGTGTACCTCTTGTGCACCACGTACACAATGGTGCCCTTGGATGCCCTAAGATGGCTTCAGATACCCTGCAAGTTACAAACGGTTCAGTGCTACAATGTCATTGTTAGCAATAGAAGGATGCAGTTAGGCTCACAACTGCTGGGACCTGCCACTAAAAAGCTTGGGGTAAATCTTAAGACAAATTAATTGAACGCCTAGCTAGTATTTATGCTGGGTTGTCTGAGAATAGGTTGAGTCCTTGAAAATTTTGACACTTCGTGAAAACAGCCTCTCAAGTGAGGAGGTGGTGGCTCTGAAAAGAGCCTTTGGGGAAAGCACACGCCGAGAAAACCTTACGCCCTCTCCCCGCGGATGCGGCGGGCCAGCTGGATGTCCTTGGGCATGATGGTCACCCGCTTGGCGTGGATGGCGCACAGGTTGGTGTCCTCGAACAGACCCACCAGGTAGGCCTCGCTGGCCTCCTGCAGCGCCATCACGGCCGAGCTCTGGAAGCGCAGGTCGGTCTTGAAGTCCTGCGCGATCTCGCGCACCAGGCGCTGGAACGGCAGCTTGCGGATCAGCAGCTCGGTCGACTTCTGGTAGCGCCGGATCTCGCGCAGCGCCACGGTGCCGGGCCGGTAGCGGTGCGGCTTCTTCACGCCGCCGGTGGCCGGGGCGCTCTTGCGGGCAGCCTTGGTGGCCAGCTGCTTGCGCGGGGCCTTGCCGCCGGTGGACTTGCGGGCGGTCTGCTTGGTGCGAGCCATGACCTCAAAACTAAACGCAGTGGAAAGGGCCCGACTGAAGGCTTATTTATAATCAGAAGCTGAAGCTGATTGGACGAGAGTCCACTGGCCTACTCCCCTATAAAGGGATTGGTCCATTGCGCACGCGCGTACCCCCCCCGCCCCCCCCAACCCCGGCAATCCTGCACTTAGGTCTGAAATGTAGGTTTTAAAATCTTCACCCAGTGCCCCCGGCACTCGGGAAACTGAGGCAGGAAAATAGCTACTAAATGAACACCAACCTGAATTATATAGTGACAGGCCTTGTCTCAAAAAACTGTTTGCACATCCTTTGATACTTGGTGATCTACGGGCTGTTTCTTTATTTCTCAGGTATAGGTTGTTTCCTGCGAGCTTTTTCCGATAGACATAAGTGCTAGTGGCAGTTTTTCCTAAAAAGTACACTAAAGCAGGGTAAATAATATGGCGCGTAATGTGCCCACGCTATTACCGCTGGTAAGTAGTATGCTCTCAAATACTTTACTTTTATTTTGGTCCTTCAAAATTCAATACATTGTGTATGTCAATTTTTGGTGTACTGAAATTCCAAATCACCAGAAGGAAAATATTTGCTAATGGCCACCACCAGTGTCCATGCATATTTCAACCCTCAAAATGTATTCCAAATTTTTCATCGACAAAAATTTGTGAGGAATTCAAGGAGCAATTTAAGCGTCTAACTAGTTTCCCACCAAAAAACCCTATTGTCAAACATTTTAAATGCAAAGGAATGGCCTTAAGATTGTAATCAAAATTTGACTTAAATGAGATTTAAAAGAACAATTTCAAAACTTAAAGCAAAAACTACAGTATTTGAAATTTTTCAAACTTATGGAGGGATTATGAAGTTTGGGAGGAAAACTAAACAAAGACGTTCAAATTGGCAAATCGATTCTCCCACTCAGTGGTTTCTTCCAACCCAGTACACACAAAAGGACTGATTCTGGTGTGGAAAGCTATGGGTTAACTGTCAAACTGATTCTATTCAATGACTTACAAGGGGGAAAACCATCTATCACCCACAGTAAGGCTTAACACTTGGCTAGAGGAATACACAGCTAAAAAATGTTCAGTTCTTTAAAGACAGTGTGGGTGGCTCTGAAAAGAGCCTTTTTACTAGGTTTTCTTTTCAATGACTTATTTCCCCTTGGCCTTGTGGTGGCTCTCGGTCTTCTTGGGCAGCAGCACCGCCTGGATGTTGGGCAGGACGCCGCCCTGCGCGATGGTGACGCGGCCCAGCAGCTTGTTGAGCTCCTCGTCGTTGCGGATGGCCAGCTGCAGGTGGCGCGGGATGATGCGCGTCTTCTTGTTGTCGCGGGCCGCGTTGCCAGCCAGCTCCAGGATCTCGGCCGTCAGGTAC